ATTTCTAGTTACATGATTTGATCTTGACATTTTCCTTACTGAAATCCAAGCCATTTTAACCCTCTTTAGACTTTACCTATATCCCATGTGGGATTAGTCCATGCTATACCATTCACTAAGTTTGAAATTTGTGAATATATTGTCGTTTTGTATTATTGGCTTGAGAGAATAGCAGCCAATTACAATTATATTTAGAGATATCCCAATGCTTAACATGGAAAGGATATGATCTCGATGCACCCTTCATCAAATAGTATGTATGCCTTGCATATTTATGTTTTAGTTGAGTATATTAAATGATCTTGGTTCAGTGTCATATAACTTCGCCATGATTAACTTACATATTGGATTTGCTTTTAACTCAAAATAAACAATGTTTATTCCTAATTACAGGACACTAACAACTCCTGTGGTACTTAGCAAATGCTTGAAGTCCATCAAAGAACATGCCTTTGATGTGTCTCCATATCCAGTTATTATTACACTAGAGGATCACTTAACTTCAAATCTTCAGGCTAAAGTAGCAGAGGTAAGAAAGTTGTTACAAATATGCATTTCTATCATTTGTTGATTATGATACTTAATATTAATGTGGCTCATAAATTATTTCACAGATGCTCAAGGAAACTTTTGGAGATTTGTTATTTTATCCATCAACTGAATTTTTAGACGAGTTTCCTTCACCCGAAGATTTAAAGTATCGGGTCTTAATCTCAACTAAAACCCCAAAAGAACTCCTTGAATCAAAGAGCATTAACGAAAACTACAGGGAATTGCAAAAGGAAACTAAAGAGGTAAAATGCTATTCAAAAGTGTCATGCCTATAAACTGATAGGAATGTTGAATGTAAGGTGCGCTAAGGAACAGAAACTTATTAGCATCTATTTTTACTACTTTATGAAAGATCTCTTATCAATATGTTACATAGTGTTATGGTTTTTATTTACTTGTAGGTTGAGCATTATCACAGTGAGCATTATCAGAAAGAGGAAGAACACGATGCCAATAATCAATCTCCTAACCACCCAATTGCACATGAATACAAGCATTTAATATCTATCGCTTCTCGAAAAGGAAAAGGAGAACTTATCAATTGGTTGAAAGGAAATGTGAATAAAGTCACTCGTCTAAGCTTAAATGAACTATTATTTGAGAAGCTCGTAGCTTCTCACGGACCAGAACTTATTAGGTAACTCCAGGAACCAATTTAGTTCTGTAAAATTCTGATGTGTGAATTTTCATGTTTTCATGTCACATCATTGACTAGTATTAAAACCAGAGCAGGGGCTATTTTTTTTTGTTTCTGTTATTTCATCATTCAGTACACTGTAGCACTTTGCTTATATCAAGCTGTGATTCTTCCAGGTTCACTCAAAAGAACATATTAAGAATTTATCCAAAAGGTACACGCATCACCTCCTCCAACTACAATCCATTACCTGGTTTGATGTATGGTGCTCAGATGGTTGCATTAAATATGCAGGTATTTATTATAACTTCTCTTCAATCATTTCTTTCTCTTTCTGGTTTATTATGGTTATTGCGTGACTTTGTTTTGACATTGTTAACTGATTGCATCATGAGATACAGAGGAAAGTGATACAATTTAGCGATATACAAAGGAAAATAATTACTTCAGGAATGCTTTAAGTTTGTTAGAATCTCACAATCTTACTTTCTTAAATGTTATTTGCATTTCGCTTTTGCAGGGATATGGAAGGTCATTGTGGTTGATGCACGGATTCTTTAGAGCCAATGGAGGATGTGGTTACATTAAGAAACCTGATTTCTTGCTAAAAACCTGTCCACATAGTATGGTCTTTGATCCTTTGGCAACTTCACCGGTGAAGAAAACCATGAAGGTAAATATTACACATAAATTGTCCTTGGAGTTACAAATTGTTTTCTATAGAAATCTCAGAACTTTTTCCTTTTTGAAATTTTTATTGTCAACAGATCAAAGTTTACCATGGCAATGGGTGGCTTTGGGACTCAAAAAAGACCCACTTTAGTTTATATTCACCACCAGTGTTTTATACAAAGGTAAGAAATATCAGATTCTTATATGAACTGATAATTACTTTTCATATCTAAGTTCAGAAATATATATATTCACGATATGTTCATAATTTATGCCAGTATCTCAATATCAATTAAATTGCTACATAATCCGTGGATAAAAGTTGGAATCTTCCATTTTTTACTGAATAGAAACAGCTGTACTGTGAGATTTTGGGTACTGATAAGTCAGTTTACAGAGTTTCAAAGAAAACAAAGAAAATAGAAAACTGGACTCCAATTTGGAACGAAAAGTTCGTGTTCGAGTTAAGAGTTCCTGAACTTGCATTGCTCAGAATAAAAGTGCACAAGTTGAACGTGTCTGGAAAAGATAGCTTTGGTGGGCAAACTTGTTTGCCAGTCTCAGAACTTAGACAAGGAATTCGATCAGTTCCCCTATTCGACCACAAGGGTAATAAGTTAAAGTCTGTAAAACTTCTCATGCATTTTGAATTTGTTTAAAGCAACCAATTAAATTACATGTAATATAGTTCTTTTGAGAAATATGGAAGTCTGATGGCGTATTATAATTTTGCCTTCATTCCTTATTCTTATGTTGTGATATGTACATGAGTTTGAGAAGAGTAATGTCAACAGTGATGGAAACATTAGTATTTTCTACCAACTAAGCTTCCAGGCTAACCTTGCTACCTATATGTATGCACCAAGTGAAGGGATTTTTTTTTAGATCTCGCAAAACCCCCCCAAAAAAGCCATCAAACGCAGCAAATAAAATCACACAAGATTTAACGTGGTAAACCCTCAACAGGGAAAAACCACGGGATCAAAATCAATCCACTATCACCTTTAAATTATAATCTTTTGCACGGACAAAGACTGCCAACCCCCCCCCCCCCCCCCCCCCCCTCCCTCTCTCTCTCTCTTCTTCTTCTTCTTCTTCTAACAATAGAAGGATATATATATAGAGAAACCAAAACCCTATCTCTAGTCTTGTTGGGAATTTAACGCCTAAATCTCTAATGCAACAGAAACGCAGAATAGAGAACAGTACACAAGATTTACGAGGTTCGGCAACTGCCTACGTTCTCGGGAGCCACACAGTCAATTTCTTATTTAATCTAACAAGAAATTACAAATCAAGAGCAAATCTCTAAACTGAGATTCCTCAAATGAACACTGTAGCTATAGTGTTAATATCCACTATAAAATCCCCTTTTCTCTTTTCTCTCTCTTCTTAAATCCTTTCTTTATCTCCCCTCAAAACTGTTGAGAGCTGGAGATCAAAAGGGAAAATCGCTGCTGCGATTTTAGGAGATGAACGCTGCTGCGTTAAAGAGGAATCGCCGCCAGAGAAAATGTCGGGGAGGAGGAGCAGCGAAACCCTAGGGTTGGGGTTGGCTTTTATAGCCGAAGTATTCCGCCAAACACCGAGGGTCGCGTTCGCCAACCGAGGGTCGCGTTCGCCCAAAGCCACCATCGCGTTCGCCAATCGAGCTCAACTGCTCGAGTTCGCCTGCGTCATCCTGGAGCTCGTCGGAGCTCCTCCGCCGCCGGAGGTTGGTATCCACCTTCAACCTAACAATCTCCCACTTGGAGACCAAACCGACGACAACAGGCTATCCCATCAAGCTCCTCTCCTGTGTGGCTCCGCCCTCATCATCTATGCATGAAGGCTAACTGAAGTTGCACACAACTCCAGTTTCTAAAAGGTCGCTGCCTTTGTCAACATATCCGCTGGATCCTTTCTTCCTTGAATATTCTGTTGGAATCCTTTGACAACTCGTCGGGCTCTGTATCTTCTGGAACCATTCTGCTCCTTTTTCACTCGATACACCCACTTGTTGTGACGTGCCTTCTTCCCTATGGGAAACTCAGCTAGTCCCCATGTCTGGTTGGAGATCAGAGATTTATTCTCCTCTTTCGCAGCAAACTCCCACTTGCTCGCATGTCAGCAACATATAATTCATGTATCTGTTGTTAGGCACAGGAGGACGAGTACTTCTCCTCAATATCGGAGCTGGTGCGTCGGGCTCCTGCGCACCGTTCTGTCCAACAGGCTCTTCTGGCTGAGGACCTTCTGCATTGGGTTCTTCAGAGAGGTTATCTGGGACATCATCTGCATCTACAAATGTTGACTCGCTCTCTCAGTCACTGGAATCTGTCTTGTGCATGTCCTTGTACATCACCTTCTCGTTGAATGTCACATCTCTGTACCTGATCACCTTCTTGTTTTCGTTGTCCCAAATGCGGTAGCCGAACTCGTCTTCACCATACCCGATGAATGTGCATTTCTTGGACTTGGGATCAGGCTCATTCCTGCCTTGATCACTTATATGCACATAAGCTACACAACCGAAAACTTTGAGATGTGAGAGGGTTACCTCCTTTCCGCACCATACCTCTTCTGGTATTCTGTGCTCCAATGGAACCGATGGACCTCGGTTGATCAAGTAAGCTGCTGTGTTGACTGCTTCTACCCAGAACTGCTTCGGTAGACCTGACTGCGTCCGAATGCTTCTGGCTCTCTCTGTCAACGTTCTATTCATGCGCTCAGCCACACCATTGTGCTGAGGCGTGCCGGGCACGGTCCTCTCCATTCTGATACCGTGCTCATAGCAGAACTTCTTGAATCTGGTGTCTTCATACTCACCACCATTGTCTGTTCTGAGTTTCTTTACCCTCAAACCGGTCTCATTCTCGACCATGGCTTTCCATCTTCTGAAAGCCTCAAACACTTCTGACTTTTTCTTCAGAAAGTAGACCCATACTTTCCGAGAGTGATCATCAATAAAAGTCACGAAGTAGTGTTTCCCACCAATCGACGCGGTGGTTGTTGGTCCCCAAACATCCGAGTGAACGAGCTCTAGCTTCTGCTTCCTAGGGGGTCTGCCACTTGTCTGAAAGCTGATTCTCTTCTGCTTTCCAAGTATGCATTCTTCACACACATCAATCTCTACTGATTGTAAACCTGGGAGTTTTCTCTTTGTGTGCATAACCTTCATCCCCTTTTCACTCATATGACCGAGTCTCTGGTGCCACAGCTTTGAAGTCTCATTGCATGCCGCAACTGAGATCGAACAACGTGCACCCGCTGTCATATACAGGGTACCAGTCTTCCTGCCTCTGGCAATCGTCATTGCGCCCTTCGAAATCCTCCAGTCATCTCCATGGAAAGTCGTCGTGTAGCCTTCACTAGCCAGCTGGCTTACTGAGATTAAGTTCCTCTTCAGGTCGGGAATATACCTGACATCCTTCAGCTCCCATACTGACCCATTCAGCTTAATCTTCACTACACCTTTGCCAATAATGGCACATGCTTGATCGTCACCAAGATATACATTTCCAAGGTTTCCGGGGATATACTTCTCGAGGAATTCTTTCTGAGAAGTAGCATGGAATGATGCTCCCGAGTCCAACACCCAAGACTCCTCCTTGCTCTCCAAAGAGCATATCAGCGCATCATCTCCTCCTGAGGTGGAGGCAACGTTCACATCTGCATTTGCCTCCCACTCCTCCCGTGCACTCCTGCACTGATTCTTGTAGTGCCCGGTTTTCCCGCACTTCCAACACTCGATAACCTTCGAACTGTTGGGATTTCTGGATTTGGATCTCCTGTCATCTGATCCATTTCCTCTGGTTGAACTTCTACCTCTTGACTCTGTATGCAATACTGAAGAGGTTGTAGCTTCATCCGACTCTCTCCGTCGGATCTCCTCACTGAGAACCAGATCACGAACGTCGTCAAACTTTAACTTTTTCTTTCCCGATATTGTTTCCCGACGAGCTACTCACAGCTGTGACTGTAGCATTCCAACTTTCTGGTAGGGAAGACAAAAGGATCAACGCTCGAACTTCCTCATCAAACTCAATATCAACTGAACTCAATTGGGTCGTGACTGTATTGAGTTCATTGAGATGATGTGCTACCGATGCACCTTCCGCCATTCGCAGATTAAACAACCGCCTCATCAAATGGACTTTATTTGAGGCTGATGGCTTCTCATACATATTGGAGAGTGCTGCCATAAGATCTGCCGTGGTCTTCTCCTTTGCAATGTTAAAAGCAACATTGCGGGTTAACGTCAAACGAATAACCCCGAGGGCTTTTCTGTCCAGAAGATTCCAATCTTCTTCCTTCATACCCTCCGGCTTCTTCCCCGAGAAAGGTTGATACAGATTTTTCTGATACAGATAATCCTCTATCTGCATTTTCCAGAATCCGAAATCTGATCCATCAAACTTCTCTAATCTCACATTTCCCTCATCTACGGTCATGGCTCCTACTTGAATCTGACTTTCTCTAGATCGTTTCACGCTCTGATACTAGTTGTTGGGAATTTAACGCCTAAATCCCTAATGCAACAGAAACACAGAATAGAGAACAGTACACAAGATTTACGAGGTTCGGCAACTACCTACGTCCTCGGGAGCCACACAGTCAATTTCTTATTTAATCTAACAAGAAATTACAAATCAAGAGCAAATCTCTAAACTGAGATTCCTCAAATGAACACTGTAGCTACAGTGTTAATACCCACTATAAAATCCCCTTTTCTCTTTTCTCTCTCTTTAAATCCCCTTTTCAAAACACTCACGAACGGACGCGAGGGTCGGAGGCCAGAAACGCGAGCGTGGGCGCTGAACGCGGGGGTCGGACCGCCAAACACCGAGGGTCGCGTTCGCCAACCGAGGGTCGCGTTCGCCCAAAGCCACCATCGCGTTCGCCAATCGAGCTCAACTGCTCGAGTTCGTCTGCGTCTTCCTGGTTATACACCTTCAACCTAACAAGTCTAACTTCATGATTAAAATAAGATTCAAATTCTCAATCATGATAGAACTCAAACTCCTAATCATGATAGATCCCTAACCTTATCTAATTCTCATGAAGTTATACAAAGAATTAAAAACTCTATCCTAACTTGGAGTTTGAGTAGATACCCAACATATCCTCCCTCGACGAAAAATCTCCAAGTGTCTCAACGACTTCAGAAAAACTCACTCTCTTCATCTTGTTCTTCACCTCTCCCTTGTGGACAAGAGTCTGAGAAGAGTAATCTACACCATTAACGGATCGCCCATCTAAATAGCAAATATGATTGCTACTCTTCCTCCCTCGCAAAATCAAATCGCCATCTCTATACACATTGCACCAATCTCCCTCACCCACATACTTGTATACACGTGATGCCATCTCACCCAACGAAAATAAATTAGCACCACATGTCGGCACATATCTCACATGATGAAGAATTCCGACCTTCCCAGTGTGAAGCTTGAGGCAAACACTTCCAACACCTTCAACATTCATCTTCTCGTTGTTTCCAACAATCACGTCGTCAAATTCTTAATCTGTCTTCAATGTGTTAAAATAATTTTTGTTGTTACAAACGTGCATAGAGGCTGTAGAATCTAACACCCAAGTGTTACTCGTATCAGTACATGTACTCTGCATCAATAAAATCATATCTTCATCACACAACCACTGAGGAGTCCGTCTTCTTCCCATTTTCTTGAAGCTTCATCTATCTAATATTCTTCAAATCATCACGTATCTGGGAACATCTGAACTGAATGTGACCCTTCTTTCCGTAATAATAGCACTCATTTTCGCTGTCGTCTCGGGCCCGAGATTTTGACCTTCCTCGATAACTGTCGCATCTCCCCGTACTCCTCCCTCGATTAGAACCTTCAAAAGCTAGTGCACTCTCACCACCATTAGATACGTTCTCCTTTCCCATCATTCTTTTATTCTCACGTAGGAGTGTTGTCACATCGTCGAACTTCAAAGTCTGCTTCTCTGTAATTATCGTCTGAACTAACGGCTTGTACGACTTCGACAAGGAAGACAATATGAGTAGCACCTGCTCTTCTTCTTTAACCTCCTCATTAATATTCATAAGTTGACAAACTAGCTGATTAAAGGTATTGATGTGGTCTTGAATTACAGTATATTCTTCCATCTTCAATGAATAAAGCTTCATCCTCAAACACAATCGGTTGGTCATCGACTTCGACGCATAAATCCCCTCGAGCCTTTCCCACAGCCCCCTTAGTGTGGTCTCTTTCATAACATTATACTTGATCTCGGGAGCGAGTGCCAAACGAATTGTGCTAACCGTCCTCTTTTGTATGGAACTCCATTCAACATCATTTAATCCTTCAGGTTTCTTCTCCTCCAAAGCTTGATCAACACCCTGCTGCACAAGAATATCTTGAACCGTGCACTGTCATACTACAAAATTTATCTTACCATTGAATAGCGAAATATCAAACTTCGGAACAGTACGTCGCCGTGAACAGTTCCTCCGCTACAGTACCCACAGTAAACTGTGCTATTGCTACAATACCGTTGCCGCCAATGTCGTTGTAAATCTCGAATCTTCACGAACTGTCGAACCCCGCTCTGATACCACTTGAAGGGATTTTTTTTTAGATCTCGCAAAACCCCTCAAAAAAGTCATCAAAGCAGCAAATAAAATCACATAAAATTTAACGTGGAAAACCCTCAACAAGGAAAAACCACGAGATCAAAATCAATCCACTGTCACCTTCAAATTACAATATTTTGCACGGACAAAGATTGCCAAACTCTCTCTCTCTCTCTCTCTATCTTCTTCTTCTTCTTCTAACAATAGAATGATATATATAGAGAAACCAAAACCATATTTCTAGCCTAACTTCCTGATTAGAATAAGATTCAAACTCCCAATCATGATGGAACCCAAACTCCTAATCATGATAGATCCTTAACCTTATCTAATTCTCATGAAGTTATACATGATGGAACCCAAACTCCTAATCATGATAGATCCTTAACCTTATCTAATTCTCATGAAGTTATACAAAGAATTAAAAACTCTATCCTAACTTGGAGTTTGAGTAGATGCCCAACATGAAGAAGGGGCAAAAAAAACTAGTGTTTAGTTTTAGGAGAATTAGAAAAAGATAATAGTTTAATTTTTATAGATGTGAGCAAATGATGCTTCTTTGTAAATGAGCCCTTTTTCTTTAAATGTGTA